CAAGCGCTCCCGCCCCCTTTCTCCCACTACTCCCCGCCCCCCTCCGGTCCACTGCGTCCAGCTAGCCAGCAGGACAGGGGCGCGTCTTATAAAAGAAGGCGACGCCCGGTCAGTGGCAAGTCAGTTGTGATCAGCGAGTGCGTCGGGAACAAAGTGTGCGCGTGTGCCCAGTGTGTGATCTCTGTCCGAACATATCTTCTTCTCCATCACGACTGTGAACATGTCGGGACTCCAACAGGTAGGAGGACGCCCGCCCCGCACCACCGCCAGCGCACTATGGATTATCCTCATCAGCTCAAACTTTAGGTGGGGCTGGAGTCGTGGTCTGAAGCAACAATGTTTTCGACCCGCGAGCTGCAATGATAACTGGTCCCTGGTCCCCCAGCAGGGAATTCCGACCGGGTGTGAACGAGTGAACCCGAGGCTCGGCCATTTACAGGACGTGTCGCGCGTCGCAGACTTGCGGTCAGCCGTTACGCGGGGATGGCTTTGAGGTGTCGCCTGTGTCACCGAGCGCCGCGCCTTGGTGGCGGGGCGTCGGAGTTTAGACTAAGTTGCGGTAAGCGAAGAACCCATCCCATGAGGCCCTAGTCTGCTGGGTGGGCACTCACTCATGTCCAGGTCCCTGTTAACAAGGCCAAAAATAAGTCACTCTGATGGAGCAAAGGGGGAGGAGGGGGGGCGCAAGAGAAATGCTGAAAGGACCCTCCCCCACCACCAAGCCGCCACACCGTCTAGATAACAAGGTTGACATTGAGCAGAGGATAGGGTCTGAGGTAACGCTCTGGTTGGCGCAACGAGGACTCCACCCTTGGCGACGTCGTTTTTCTTCTTCTTCTTTTTTATGGCTCGGATTTGCCGCTTGATTACACGGTTCCTCCGCGATCGCGCATCAAAAGTGCTCGGATGCGCCACGCCTCGACAAACGCGGACTCCCGAGAGAACATGACACGCCTGTTTTCAGATCGCGTTCCTGGCGCTGTCGGCGACCCTCGGCGTCGCCCGAGCAGGCTACCTCAGCAACTACCCCGGGGGCTACAGCGGCTACGGCGGCATCAGCGCCGTGAGTCCGGCCGCCCTCAACTACGCCGCCGCCCCGCTGCCCGCTCTGGCCAGCCCGTACCACGCCGCCCCTGCCTACGCCGCCGCCCCCGCCTACCACGGAGCGGACTACTATGTAAGTAACGCCGATCAACAGTTTACACTCAAACCAGAGAAAGAATACTCCCGTCGTAGCTCTATAGATGCACTTTGTTATTCTATGCATCCCGTTTTGTTCATCTTGACACGCAGGCGCCGCCCAAGTACGCATTCAACTACGGCGTAAACGACCCGCACACGGGCGACCACAAGAGCCAATGGGAGGAGCGTGATGGGGACGTAGTCAAGGGCGAGTACTCTCTGGTCGAGCCCGATGGCACCATCCGCACCGTGTCCTACACCGCTGACGGCCACAACGGCTTCAACGCCGTCGTCACCAAGTCGGGGAAGGCCGTTCACCCGCCCCCCGCCCCTGTGCACGCCCACGCCTCCGCTCTCCATCTCCCTGTGCCCCTCCCTCTGCACGGAGGCCACCCCCACCAGCCCATCTATGAAGCAGCGTATCCGGCGTACTGAGCGGGGGCAAGAGAAAAACACGAACTCATGTGAAGCCAGCCGTGGAGACCAAATATTGAAAGCTCGAGTCTGTCGAGTCTCTTCATAAGAACTTACACCGGCGTTGTGTGTGCATGCTTCACAATGGATTCTGTCTAGCTCTCACTGACACCATGAACACTGGGAGAGATGGAATTCATTGAGAAATTGTTTTGTACGACACTAAGTCAAAATAAAATGGAAATTGTCCACCTCCAATGTCATCTCAAATTTAAGTGACCCAGAAAAACAAGGATAAGCATCACGCATAAAATGATTTTTCAATTTTTATTACAGCACCATAACAAATTAACTTCAACCAGAAGTAGCTTTGGCAGCTAGCCTCTTGTCGCGCTCCTCTGAAATGCTGAGCTTGACTCCCTTGCCCTTAGGCAAGGAGACGTAAGCCTTGGTGCCCTTGCCAATGATGAATACGTTGTGCAAACTGCAAAAAAGGAAAGAAAAAAGTTAGATCCTGAATTTATAAAATGGAATAAGTGAGGCACCATTAGTCATGGTTGTTTTCAACCTTGGGTAATGCTCAAGGGCCATGAAATTAGGGCTCGACAAGCGACCGACGGTGAAAAGTAATCTTGGCCTTAATTTGACCAATTGTAAGCTAGGGCCCTACAATTGGCTTCGATTAGGCCGTGGAAAAGATAAGGGGGAAAAGGTCTGCAGCTGTTTTCAACCTAGGGTAATGCTCAAAGACTATCAAAAGAAGGTTCAACAAGCGACCGAAAGGTGAAATTCAATCTGGGCCTTGTTTTGACCAATTTAAGCTATTAAGCTGAAAATGGCTTCGATCAGGCCCACACACTTGTGTTATATGTGGACTGTATTCATCCATGGGTAATGCTCAGGGGCCATGAGTTTAGGCTCAACAAGCGACCGATGAAGAAAAGTAATTTAGGCCTTGTTTTGACCAAGATAAGCTACAGAGCTTACAATGGCTTCGATCAGGCCACGCATGTCAAATGAATCAAACTTACCGGGTGGCAAAAACATGACCCTGGCTATCCTTGATGTGAACAATATCGAATGATCCAGGATGCCTCTCGCGGTTGACGACTGTACCAACACGCCCCAAGTTACGACCTCCAGTGATCATGCAAAGATTGCCTGTAAAATAAAAATGATGTCAGGTGATATCACAAATGTTACAAGAGACTAAATTATCAAATCTCAGATGAGTAAGAGTATTATCAATGTCATTCAATGGTGTGCCATTAAGTATTGATCATCACAGAGCTAAATTGAACAGAAGTCAAGTGTGATGCATACCTGAGTCAAAGCTAATGTAGTCCATAATCTTGCTGGTAGAAATATCAAGCTGGATGGTGTCATTGACCTTAATTGCTGGGTCAGGGTATCTGATGGTGCGGCCATCATGGGAAACAAGGAATGGGATGCCCCTGGGACCAACCTGAACTCTCTTCACCTTGCAAAGCTTGTACTGTAATAGAAAGTTAGCATTGAGTGTTGTGACAAATTTCACATAATTCCATCTCAGAGGAGGCAGAGTGACTTACTTTGGCTTCATCAGCAGTGATGCGGTGGATGGTGAAACGACCCTTGACATCATAGATGAGACGGAAGTTTTCGTTGGTCTTCTCAATGGAGATGACATCTAGTGGAAAAATAGGAATATTAGTAACGTAATAAGCACAATTGTGACAGAGGACCCAGGACCTAGTGAACACTAACTTAGATTCCTAACTTCCCCCTTCAAGGGTTGTCATTGTCATCAGAGGCATAAGTTAAGACTGGAATTCGAAGAACATGCAACATGCAGATTTCTCTTTAAAAGTACTGCCGAAGAGTTAAAATGGCTGAGATTCGTCTTTTTCAAAGAACAGGACAGAACAGTTCCTTCCGGATACTCTGAGTGGTGTCCAAAGGAGAATGGAAAATTATGTTTCTCAGGTTGTTCCCCATGCATGTCTTCATGAGATCAGAGGCATGAATCATCACAGAAACATTTAACTTAGAGACCAAATTAGGCAAATTCTGAGGTACAGCAGCAATAACTCACCCATAAAACCAGCAGGGTAGTTGGGGTCCGTTCGGACCTTGCCGTCAACCTTAATGAGGCGCTGCATGACGATCTTCTTAACTTCACAGTTTGTGAGGGCATATTTAAGACGGTTCCTCAAGAAGATCACCAAGGGAAGTGATTCCCTGAGCTTGTGGGGACCAGTGCTTGGTCGTGGTGCGAAAACACCACCCAATTTGTCCAACATCCATGCCTTGGGGGCATGAAGGCGCTTCAAATGCTTCTTAGGTCCCCTCGCCTGAAACGAAAAAGCAGTAGGTAGAGATACACTATGGGAATACAGAAATTGAACGACGATGGCATAGGCTGAGCTAACCAAAACATAACCTGACTTAGCGCTCAATTTACGTAAACAAACGATAAAGTACCCAAAACTACATGAGTGATCTACGAAAGTTATGCATCTAAACATAAGCCTTAAGAGGGTCTATCCATCACTATGACGAAAATTGGATTCAAGGCAAAACAACGCCGGCCATGTGTGAACTCCGGTATAACCTCAACTGCATGTGAACCCCCATTAAGGTCTCGAGAGCTAAAGCCTTCAGGTGTTACAATCACTTAGCCATTAAAAGGTGATACGACATTAGCAACACAACTGAAACTTTTGAAAACTTCGAACGAAATCAATACCGCAGGGGCTTTTCAAATAGCTAAGACTGCAACGGCGGGTGTGAGGCTGACACGTCAAGTACAATAGTATCTTATCTGTATGGAATATACCGACCCATCACTATGAAATTCTTGGACATACCATTTTATTTTGCAATTGAGCAACACTAATTAAAAGCGCCTAGGCCCTGGATGTTACAAGATAATTTTCAGGAGCTACGGGCACACTCACCATTTTAGCGATTTACACTCTAACCGGAAAAGAACCGCAACAGACCTTCTAAAACTTAAGGAAACCAGTGGTCATGTTTTTCTTCTTCTTGTTGTGGCTACGAGATAACGCATCTCTACGGCCACGGCCTTCGGCCACTTGTGGCGGGAAAATCCGGCATATTCAAAATATAGCGGAGGGAAGAAATAGACGGTCTGCCCTGATTGTGCTGTAAATTTTTTTCGGAGTTACCTGACTACTGTGTGCGTCAGCGTCAGCGTCTTATCTTACAAAGCAAATCAGAGTCCACTTTCCCTTCGAAAGCTTTATGTTTTTATAAAAGAAAATAAACCTTAATCATGGTTTTAGACTCTCATCAGCAGTATGAAAAGCTGCCAAAGTGTGTCACTCCGACACATTACGATTTATATTTGAAGCCAGATTTGCAATCTTGCACCTTTGAGGGAAAAGTGGTCGTGAGCTTGATGGTAAGAGATGAATAAGTTCAAATAATCATCTTTTCGAATTTGGTGATGTTTCATAACCCTACATGGTTGTGTAAACAATCATACCAGTATTTGTACTGTTTCTATTCTCCCGTTCTTTTAGGTCAGCTCTCCAACCAATCAAGTGAAATTTCATAGCATTGATCTTGAATTGAGTGATGTGGAACTACGGTCAGGGGATGACAAACTGTGCACCGGGCTTTCCACTTGTGATTATAATGAGTCCATAACTTTGGACGTGCCTAGTGGTCTGCAAGTTGGCTCGTACACATTGTCTTTAAAGTTTAAAGGTTTATTAGATGATAACTTTCGAGGATTTTACCAAGCCAAATATACTAGGTAACTTTTGTCAAATTTTATGTCTATCTGTAATCCTGTAGTGAATGTTTCTGATTCATTTATAACATCTTATTTTAAATTTAGTTGTGATGGAGAGGAACGAGTTTGTGCAATCACTCAATTTGAAGCCAGCAAGGCTCATCGATGTTTTCCTTGTTGGGATGAGCCTTCATTTAAAGCAACGTTTGATATTACTGTTTGTTGTGCAAAGGACAGGGTGGCTTTATCCAATATGGTGAGTGTTGCTTATAAAAGATACATTTAAAAAAATTTAAATCTCGAATATTACCATCATGCTTATGTTGTACAGCCCATTTCAAGTGAAGTTATAGAATTGGATCACAAGCTGGTGCGCTTTGCCAGAAGTCCAATCATGTCGACATATCTTGTGGCTGTTGTGGTTGGAGAGTTTGACTATATTGAACAGTCAACCCCAAAGGGAGTCAAAGTACGAGTTTATACCCCACTGAAAAAGCAAGAACAGGGACAATTTGCCTTGGATGCAGCAGTAAAAGTTCTGCCTTATTTTGAAGACTTCTTCAAAATTTTGTACCCTTTGCCTAAAATGGATTTGATTGCAGTGCCCAGTTTATCATTTGGTAAGTCATCAGCAGAAATATTTAAACTGAATTAATTTTTGGAATGCTAAACACTGTTTACTTTTATTCCATCTACCTACTCCCACCACTCATTCTGTGCCTTGAAATTCTCTTTGTTAGGTGCTATGGAAAACTGGGGATTGATTACATATAGAGAAACATGTCTACTGGTTGATCCTAAAGTCAGCTCTGCCAAAAGAATACAATACATTGCCCTTATTGTTGCTCATGAAATCGCTCATCAGTGGTTTGGGAATCTTGTTACTATGGTAAGAAAACTAAGAAAAAATCAATATGCAACAAACTGGCAAACTGGGACTCTAAATTCTTCTTTTAGTAGTATATTTTCTCTTGATTGTATTGTATATAATTGTATATAATTGTATATAATTTAGATATTTTGTATCTCTGACAGGAATGGTGGGATCATTTATGGTTGAATGAAGGTTACGCAACCTTCATGGAATTTTTGAGTGTGGCAAAGCTGTTTCCTGATTATAACATTTGGAACCAGTTTATAACTCTTGTTTATAGCCCTGCTATGAAAATGGATGCCCTCAAAACAAGTCATCCTGTTGAGGTAAGGGTAGATAAAAAAGATTCATTCAGTGTCACTTATCTTTAAAACTACTTTTCTCTCATTCTTGCCTTTCCAGGTACCCGTTAAACATCCATTGCATGTTGATGAAATTTTTGATGATATTTCATACAATAAAGGGGCTTCATTAATTCGAATGTTACATGGATACATTGGTGATGATGTAAGTGCCTTTGTTCTAGAAATCTATAATCTATATGGGCTGCAAAAAAAGTAATCAGTGTTATTACGGTATAATTAATTAGGACTTTGAGAGGGGGATGAACATGTACTTGAACAAGTTCCAGTACAAAAATGCCTCAACTAATGACTTGTGGAAAGTTTTGGAGGAGGCTTCCCAGAAACCCATCTCATCCATTATGCCTAATTGGACAAAATTATCTGGTTATCCAGTGATATTTGTTGAAAGAGAGCAAGTAGGAAATAAGTGCAAACTTCTACTGAAACAGTACAAATTTTGTGCATCTGGAAATGAGTCAGGTGAGACTTTTACTTTTAACTTAAATATTTATTTCTTACTTACTACTCTTTTCTTTGCATTTTTAATCCTTACTGCTTATTTTGAGGAATGATTTCTATAAATGTGTTTTCCATCAGATTCTAAATTTGAAAATTGGATAATTCCTATGGAATACAGAACTGAAAAAACACAGGGTAACAGTACCGGTAGATTTGAATTAGCATCTAAAGAAGATGTTTTGTTCATTAATGGTTTGAACAAAAATGACTGGGTGAAATTGAACCCTGGTCAGTATGGTTTCTACAGAGTTCATTATTCCCCAGATATGCTGGAAAATCTCATGCCAGCAATATCTAATCTCTCTCTTCCACCTATTGATCGTCTTGGTCTTCTTGATGATCTTTTTGCTCTTGTAAGTATTTCTTTTTTTTTATATTGTCAGTATGTGAGGAGAGGTCATCTTATCTATAATACCCATAAGTTAATATTATTCCTCAAATTTCATATTAGGTACAGGGAGGCTACAGTACATCTGACAAGATTCTTGACCTTCTGCTATCAATGTCAAAGGAAGATAGTTGCATGGTGTGGAGCACTATGAGTAGTGTCTTAATGAGATTGAAGAAGCTCGTTGAATATGCTGATGATTCTATTCTAAGCCATTACATGGCTTTTGGGCGAAAACTACTTCATGAGATAAGACAAAATATTTCTTGGGATCCAAAGCCTAATGAAAGTATGCATTTCTCTTCTTTCTTTAATCCTGTACAATTTAGTACATACTTAATTTACTTAATTTGTCTCTTAGGTCATGAGGACAAATTGCTTCGTAGTTCGATTTTGGATCTTCTTGGTGAATTTGAGGATGAAACTGTAATTACTGAAGCTGAGAAACGTTTAAAGGCTCATTTAGATGGTTCATTGGAGGTGCTGCCTGATCTCCGTGGTGTAGTGTATGCCATTGGTGTTAAAAATGCCAACCAAGATCTTTACAAATCTGTCATTGATGTAAGTACAGATCAGCCAATGATATTTCTAAGTTTGTTTATATTCTGTGTCAATAAATTTTGTATTCTTTTCATTCTGTCAGATGTACCATGCGGCTTCACTTCAGGAGGAGAAAGAGAGAATATTGTATGCTCTCGCTGCAATGAAGGACCAAGTTCTGATCAGTCAGTTGCTGAACTTTGCTCTGTCTGTGAGTATAGATTCCTCTTAATAATGAATCCAGAGGAAGATATGTACATATGTATAATATTTTTTGTTCTCTTTTTTTGAAAAAAAAAAAATTGTTTGTATCCTAGAAACATGTAAGGAAGGAGACTTCTCTGGATGTACTCAGTGCAATATCGCAAACCCGTACGGGACGAGAACAAGTGTGGAATTACACCCAGCATCACTGGAAAAACATTTTTGAAGGATATGTCTGTATTGAACTTAAACAACATCAAAATATCTTTGCCAAATTTTTAACTGAAATGTTTAAAATGCAACTTTATTTTCAGGCTGGATCATTTGCCCTACCCCATTTCATCTCAGGAGTATTTTCTCATGCTGCATCAGACAACATGGCTACTGATCTGGAAGAATTTTCTAAGAATCACAAAGTGTTAGGAATGGAACGGACCATTGATCAAGCCATTGAAAAAATCAGGGTGAATGTTGGGTGGCTGGAAAGAGATACTCAATTAATAGCATCGTTTTTGAAAACACATGTGTGATGACCTTGTATCAAGTTCATACTTTGGTGCCTTATCTCATTGTTTTAGCAGTTGTTATAAAAATGTTCATTCAACAATATGTATTCCTTTATTTTCTCCTTCAAGATTGTAATCAATAACTGTAAACTGTTTTACAAGGTACAGAAAACAAAAAGACATAAACTTATTCAAAGCGGAAAGCAAAACAGAGTTGATACTAACTCACTGCAGGAAGATCTGTTTTAGCACTTCATTTTTTTTTTAAAGAAAAAACAAACAATGCACTGACTAATTACGGTAAAAAATCAAAATTGAACACTAAATGTGTAAAGATTTTAAGAACAAAGAATTATTACACATGGAAACAAACCACAAAATCGATAGACTGGATGTTTCTACCACTGACTTTTATGAATATCATTGTACAATTGATGGTATTAAATTCACAAGCTAAAACAGGATTGCTTTTCAATGAGAATGTCACATGCAGAAGCCCGATAGTTGAAAACAAGAAAGTTCTTAGTCAAGGATTGAGAAGAATTCTCCCTCCTGATACTTCTTTCTTTCATTCATTCTCAATTTTAAAGAAAAATATTTCAGGTTATTCAAAGTAAAGGGATTACTTTACATAGAAGTTAAATACCTTTGCCTGTAAGAACCTCACTTGGGAAAAAAAACTTTGGGAAAACAAATCTGAACAGAAAACATAAAAAAAGGTATAAAAGAAAGAGAAAGATAAAATTGATAACAGGCCACAGGTATACAAATGACAAGTGACAAGAGGATCATAAGTAGTGTCCCAAAAATACCACAAAAAAATTTGACAAAAGAATCAAACATACCAGCTGAGGCTGATAACAACATGTAATATAGAAAGGGACTATGATACTGTGATCCAAAGTACATGGTAAAAGATCCAGGAAAATGCACTATCAATTAAATTCTTCAAGATTTGGCAATGCACAAAACAGGATGCAACATGCCAACCATTTCCCTAACCATCCATGTCATCTTTCACCAATTAAACTACAATATGAGAGAAGTAAAGACTGGAAATTGCAGATACTCACGCCCACCAGACGCTACTACATCAATAAAAGAAAAACAGACAAACTCAAGCAAGTCAAGTGAGAGGCAGTCTCAATATCATCAACCACCACCAACAGAAACTATTAAAAGTACACCACCTCTTTTAAGGATAATCCAACAGGATTTATTCTGATCAGCAAAAAGCACTTCAAATCCTATTTGCCTTGCAGATGTACTACTGCTCTATGCTTCACACCCCCTTATACCTATTACGAGCTTACAAAAAATTCTTGCACCACAATAAGTAAAACATCAGTATCATGATGAGGCCAATAGCAAAGTGTGTAATTTGTAATTTCACAAAGGAAAAGAAACTTACATCCTTTTGTAGATGTGACAGTAATTTTGGATAAATTTAGATTAGAATCAGCAGAGTTAAAGACATGGCAGTACTGAGATGGGATCAGAATGTAGTAAATTTTCCATAATTTCACTATACAATAACAGTGTTTGAACATGTCATAGTCTTCTTCCTAAAAACAGTATCAAATCATAGGTGGACAAGTTTATGTAGAAGAGTTGAATGCAGCTACATAAAAAGATATACAGTAATTATTAAAGAGGCACATAATAACAATAACAATAATTATCATGAAAACTATCCAAAGAATGGGCAGTTTACACTTGTTAAAATAGGACACAAAAATGAAACTACATACATTACTCAAAGACTTTAAGCGGCCGAGACCTTGACATAAGTTGGCTGATTCAACCCCTCAAAATTTTAAAGAACCAAAAACAAAATTGCGAGATACTTGAGATACTTGCCATCAAGTATTCACTAACATTTA